ATATGCAGTTCTTGCCAGGTTAGCCATTTTTGGCGGTGGCAGTCGAGAACATACATTGTGCATACAAACACTGTAGCAGCATGTTCATGTTCCTCCAACTTTGTAAGACAGAAATCCAACTTCAAGGGGCGTTACAGTTAAAATTTCTGACTGGGGACTTGAAAATTCTGAATTCCCATATGGAGCCCAGGCATAGATGACCGATTAGATAAACTAAGTAGGCTGGGCTCTCTGCCATTAATAAAAACTGAAATGTGCAAGCAAACAAGTATTTTTCCAACAAAAAGATTTGATCTCATTTCCCGCTCAATTTTTCACCTTCTGCATTCGTAAGTGTATGCTAGAAATTTTGTGCTTTGTTTACTTGATAGTGCCGGTCCATGATTCCTGTCACAGTAGGAATTTGCTAACAGTGCTCATTAGAAGAAGGTTTGAACTGCTGACACCACTCAGATAAATCAATATGCAAATGTTAGTCAGTCAGTCATACCAGTGTTGTTCGTTTTTGGCTTGTTTCTGTTTCAAGTCTCTATTTCACATTCCATGCAAGCATGGGCAACAACACGCAGGATTCATGATGGGAGGAGGATGTGGAGTAAGCACAATCCTCATCACTGCGCTGCTGCTCTCGTATTGTCGAGGGAATTAAAGCCAAGCATAAACATAAGTGTGTTAGCTTTAAAAAATGTAAGCTCACTGTCTTCTGGACCCATCCTTGATGTAGTTGTACTGTTCAACACGGTGCCAAGTTTCACCCTTGGCCATGTTTCACTTCATTTTTTCCGCTCCTTCACATCTAAACACCGCCTGCGTCTTTCAGCACTCTCTACCTTGTGATCCATGCAATTTCTCTCCCATTATTTTGAATCAGTCCCTTGTTTCTGGTTTGACCACATAATTTTTACTCTGTCTACTGTCTCCTGAATGAGGTCGACCACCAGACTCACGCTCTCTCTCTGCTCTCTGGTCTGCTCCAGCGCAAATGAGAGCCAAACCACAGGCCTCAATTACCCAGCATTCCTTGGAGAGGACGAGAGAGGCCTCATGTAGCAGACTATGAAATTAACATTCATGACAAACCTCTCAAGCCACATAACTATTTCATGAAAGCAGCAGTTGCAGAATTTCACCACTGAGGAAAGTATCACTCCCATTGTATCATTATTATTGCAACTTCCTGCTGGTTTCTTGTTCCTAACAATGGGTGAGAGTAGGCTAACTAAAAAAAAGTAACTAAAAAACTGTCATAACATTATTCTGTTATTCATTTTACCATATAAAATGTTTCAGTGCCATAGAAATACGGCACTTTTAAACAATAAACAATGTGTTTAATGTGCAGTTTACAAAAACACAGCTTAAAAACAAGCAACAACCAACTAGCTAGCTAGCTTAAGCTTAACTTACAATCCCCTCTGAGCGTCTCCTGTAGGCTTACTGAAACATATGAGTTTTTATTAAGTAACATCTTGGTATTTTTTTTCAATTCCATGGAAGTAAAGTAAAGTAAAGTAAAGTAAAAATCCTGTCACAAAGAATAAAGTCAGCTAAGCTAGTCTTTCTAACAAGATAATTAGCCTAGCTTAGCAGAGTAGCAGTAGTGGAGACCGGGAGTCATTTTTTTGGTTTTGATTACTCACAAACCTCTCGAATACATGTTTTATGAAGGTAACTTGGTTCCTGTGTTCCTCTTGTTGACAGTTATCAATTGTTGATTAAACACGAGAAGTCAAATGGTAGCCCATGTCTGTCTCCATGTGCACGGGCCATATGGGGCAATTGTGACAATAATACACTTAATGCCTTCATACCCAGGACCGAAGTGAAATCTCAAGAATAGAAATATGTAGTTACAACAATTTAATATCGACTGAACAATTAATTCCAGTTTAATAAAACAGTATATTTAATGGTATCATGTATTAGACATCAGTTTGTCTGTTGGCAGGCAGAGAGGTATCACCACAGTGTTGTTTGTAAAGTTTGTGTCAAGAAGGACGCCTCATCTTTTACTGCAAACCATATCTACCAACGGGTACAAATAAAGTAGCCTTATGTTACCACAGAGCACATACAGAGTTTCATGGCTCTGTCACATTTCTCACCGGTGCAATTTGAGATGTTACAAATGCTTCTTATATAAAATGTGTATCTGTCAATATGTCTATTTTGATGATGTTGCTAGGATGGACACCATTTTGATGGTACATGACACAAGCTACCCCTCTGGCTAAAAACGACAAAGCTAATAATTGTATATATCAAATGTTAGACAAGGGAATAGTCATCAAAACTAGACAAATTTAAATTCATAGACATTAAAGATTAAGACAGTACGAGGAAAAATACTGGAGATGAAAAAAAAGATTATACCTTAAAAATTAGTCCTGGCAGAAAAATGTCAACAAATACGAGGCATCAGTTTGTACTTTGGCAGGCAGAGAGGAGTCATCAAAGACCATGTGCATAATGAGTTTCATGGTTTCATCTCATTTCTGATTGGTGCAATTTGAGATGTTACAATTGCCCTGGTCCCCTAATTAGCTGTCATCTCAGTTTTAACTCTTTGTGCCAACCTAAATTAAGAATTTAAATAATGTGGCTTGATGTTTAGGGGTTGTGATGTGTTTTGCTTATGGTGCTCCGTATTGTGCTGGTGTTATGTGCAATACATGAGTGGCTGATGTGCAATACTGTTATGAATAGTTTATGTTTTTTTTATTTTATTGTGTATGGTTTTCAGTCCTTCTGAACTATTACTGTAAGCCAGCAATACTTGTGCAGCTCCTGAGTCCAAGACAAATTTCCCTCCAGGGACAAATAGTATATCGCATCACGTCGCATATTATATCATATCATATCGTATCGTATCGTAGCATATTGTATCATATCATATTGCATCGTATCGTTTCGCATCGTACCATATTGTATTGTATCATAGCGTAGCATATCATATCATATCGCATCATATCGTATTGTATCGTATCGTATTGTATCGTATCATATCATATCGTGTTGTGTCATGTCGCGTCATATCGTATCGTATGTACCTATGTATGTATTTAATTGGAAGTTTATTTATTAGATTTATTAGATTTAAAAGTAATGGCCGATGGGAAGCTAAAGGATTTGTCCCCCCCGGTATTACCTTAAGTTTTTCTAAAGGCCTGAATAATAACTGAATAACACAGTAAAATATAAAGACAGACATTACACTCTATATATTTGGCAGGATTTGTTTGCATTATTTCCGCATTACTGTTGAACATGTGTGTGACATGAAGCTTATAAAATGTGGTGTTTTTTTCTTTTACAAATGAACTCAGACAGATTCGTAATGCATAGACAGGGATTTTAATGTATGTTCACTTACAAATCTGTTTCAAGCACAAGTCACTGGCTTTCACACTGAGCAGTACAGTCACTTTTCAACGACCCGTGATGCACTGATACCGTAGGTACTGATAGCATTTCTTAAAAGGCAACATATTTATGGTACAAATACCCAATTGTATACAGCAATTCTTATCACACATCGGTCATTCTCTACAGGCAGTTAATGAGTGATCAGACTGTCTCTTTCCTCCAGGCTGATGCACTTTAAAATCCATGAACGCAGTGTACAGTATTTATGTAATATCACCCCTGCTATTTTCCTACCAAGGTGGTTGAGTGGTGAGGTAATAGGACACTTCTTGTATTTCATCGTCACTTGTTTCATTGCACTGGAATGTAAAAATCTTTAGTTTTCCGTTTCCAGGTTCTTAGCCTCAGCAGAGAACAAAAACAAGAACAAACATTCAGTTTTTTTATTACGCTTGTTTGTTCAAGCCTCACTCATGGCACTTAGATTTTCCTTAAAATCTTTTTTTTAAATATTGAATTTGTGGAAAACATTTTAATTTGAGCACATTTGGGAGTGAGTGTGCTGAGCCAACAGAAGCTGGAGTATGTAAAAACCTTTGGATAGTACTACAATAAAATTAATCATCATCAGTAGGCAAATTACAGGAGCTAAATCAGCCTGCAGGAGATTAATGACAGTGTTTGTGGCTATATGTCAAATTAGCTGAGTTGTTTTTGTCATCAGGAGATTAGCTGTGATACTGTCAGTCTGCCAACATTAATAAAAGACTGCGGATGATGATGACTGCCTCCATGCCTCAGTTTCTTTGTGCTTGTTTGGGTCTTCGTCTGTCACAGTAATTCATGAAGTACAAAAAAATTCACACTGAAAATCCCAGAGAAATAAATCACTCATTTAACTACGCTTTACAGTTTGGAGTCACCAGTTACATTACTGTCCAAATACACCACAACGCTTAGCCAATAGGAATGCAGAGTAAAGCTCAAAAATTTTGAAGCAGCACATTGAACTTTTTGACCCGCTGAAACTTTTGTTGCTCTTTATTTATCCGCATGACAAACTTTTAAAGAGGATTTTGAACTTGTTAAGAGTAAAACTTTGAGCAAAATCTCTTCTTGACCAGCACTCATCTCATGGCAACTGTTACATTATCACAAGAAGTGCACACACTATTCATTGTTGGTCATAGGATTGACAAATTTCAAGCCACATCATGCAATTCACATCAGTACCAAATGTTTATACTGTTGAATCAGAGAGAATAAAAAGTATGAAAAGAGACTGTGATCCTGTTAAAGACAGGGCGGAGCGATCAGAGGATGGAAGAAGCTCATGTTGGTGGAAGATCTCAGCATCTCTTTCACCACCCTCAGGTCCCGACTGGAACAGGCTCCAAAATGAAGCACAGAGAATCTGAGCAAATATGCATTAAGCTCCTCTACATCTGACACCCAACACCATTCTCCTCTCAACAATTTACATCGTAAAAGAGCCAACACTGCTGTAAGCGTGTCTACGCATGTTTTTAAAAAGGGCTGAATGAATGAAAAATGAACACAGAGTGCGTCTTCCTCATGCACACACAAACATACAAAGCACTGATGGACGCACAATAAAGATGAAGTGAGTCGAATGGATGCATATTCACATTCTTTAATCCAGGTTTCCTTTCTAAACAAGCTGCACGTGGAGGAAATGTGCCTGTGAAAGAATGTAATGATGGTATGATTACAGTACACACTGACAGATGCATATCAGATTTTGGTTGCAGTTTTTGTTTTGCTTTTTTTGCATTCACATGACCTACTTCAACCCACTAAGAAGTCTAGTCTTGAGTATGGCCAAGAGCACTGATCAATGATTTTTCAGGCTTGCAAATACAATTTTTTTTGCACAAAATGTACTGTAGGATGCGTCATAAAGGGGGCTGGAAAATACTTATATAATTCTAAAAAAAACCCCAAAACATTAATTTGAAAGATTTTTTTTAAAATAAATGAGGCTCCCGGTGAAGCTCTCCAGAAAGATTTAACAATATTACAGTTTCATATGCTAATATTGATGTTATTTTTTAATTTAGACCGGTGTATAATATGTATGCAGGCCTTCCCTCTGAGATTACAGTACTTAACTTTGAGACAAAAAGCATAAAAGCTGCATCTTAAAGCTGAAAATGTGATACATACAAAGTCCGAGCTGCAAGAAACAGACAAAAAAAACATTTCAGAAGTTACCCGAAAATAAACTCATCATACTGTATATCCTAAAGGCACCTTAGACAAAGATATATCCCTGTGCTTGAATGGGTAAAAAGGTTCGGGGGTTGAAAACTGCTGCATTGAAACTCTATATCGCCACAAGAAAGGCTACATAGTAGATAGATGGAGTTCATTGCATAAACTATTCTGTCACTGATTGTCTAAAAGCATGACTTAAAGACAGAATGCAGATCTGTAAAATTACAAGATGTGACTTTCATTTCAAATACTGCAACATATTTAAATGCTCTATGTCTTTCCACCTTTAAGAACTGTTCACACAACACTCCATCAGTTGCATCGTACTGCAACGCTGCATTTCTGCAACAGGGTATATTTCTAAGATAAAACATGCATGGGGGAAACTCTCTCCTGATCATGCAGATATTGTCTCTGGATTTACTCTCCACAGTGGGAAGATAAAGAGACAACACAAAAATATATAAAACAATAAAACAAACAAAGAGACAGGTTGAATCAAAAATCATGAATAAAAACAGTGTCCAACAACAAGCTCTGCCCTGCATCGGCAAAAAACAACCCCCCCGACATGCTGGTGGAGGAGGTTATCTTCCCCTCCTTCCATTGTATCCTCTCCCCATTTTAACTCATCCCAAACTACCAGCCCAGTCTGTAAAAGTAATCCTCCAATGCATCATCATCATCATCATCATCAAGTCTCCCTCTTCCTCCTCTCATCCCATTTTCTGTCTTCCTCCTCAGGCTGGACAGGCTTGCTCCCCCTGCAGGCGAGAGGTTGGAATGACGCTGTATTCCTAACCAGATAAGGGGGGAGATGGTGCCTCCGGTTCCACCGAGGGGGTTTAAATTGGAAAGTCACTGGGATTGATTAGGCAAGTAAGTGGAGCAGGCGCAGGGATCACACCCTGCTGGTCGGGTGGCAGCGGTAGGTGCAGTTGGAGAGGTGGTCAGCTCCCCCGTCGACGTTCTGGGAGCATCCACCCTCACAACAAGCCTCTGAGTGAGAAGAAGGGCATGATATCAGTACTGTACCAATACATTTGTCACACTGAAAACATCTGTAACCCACACAATTGTTCACTGCTGTATTCACAGTGTGTGTGAGACAAACAAAGAGGGACACTAGGAACTAAACCACAGCTTGTACCTGCGTCTTCCTCCAACAGATGAGTTCGGCACGGACTGGGCAGGGTGGGGTTGGGCCCCTCGCTACTGGTTCCCAGCTGGAGACGCCTCATGTGACGGACCACTGCTGTGGCATTAAACGCTTGCTGCAGAGGAAAAGACACAGATGTAATATAACCCAAAACCTGTAGAGTCTCATTCATCTGAATCTGAAAGTCGGCCAACTGGGACCCAGACAGCAGCCTACTGCTCCAAGATTTTTTCGTACAAAGCAATACTTCTCACAGCAGGGTACACAGCTGTGAGTTGTGAGCAGTTCATTTAAGGAGTGATTTGTGGCTTCTCAGATTATTTTATTTTAGTGGTTTTCTCAAGAGCTAAACTGTAGAGTATCTGGCTCGGAAAAGAGCAAAGATCAAAGAAAAGCTTTAAAAATCGGGAGTGGGGGATTCAAGTCACAAATGTGACAACTTGAGACTTGCTTGACCAACACTGATAAAGACCCGACTTTGATTTATTATTCATGACTTGAGTCTAGACTTAGACGTGAGACAGATGACTCAAAAGGACTATTTTAGATAGGACTATCTAGATACTGAGAAAGTACGTTTTGTTTTTGGTAAATTAATAGGCGACTTCTGGTGCAATGCATGCAAACCTGGCAACCTAGAGGGACGCAGCCGGCCAGCAATGGCCAACGCATGAGGCAGCTATCATAGAGGAGGCTAGCTCGGAAATAATGAAATTTGGATTCAAGGATTATGTTGTCGATGACAGTACTAAGAGAGAGCAAGGGTATACAAAGTCTGCAGCTACAAAAATTGGTGACACAACCACCACAACATCCAACTCCTCCATCACTAAAAACCCACAAAGAAAGGTACATGAGTAACTTGGGGACTTGCTTGAGTCTTGAAGGTTAAGACTTGCGACTTGCACATATGTGACTTACTCCTACCTCTGTTAAAAATACACTACTGAGTGGAGCATTTTTTCTTTTTCATATATTCCACAAATGCAACCATCTTGTGATCCCACAGATTCTTCTCAATCCCGACCCTCAGGTTGGAAACTACTGGCCCACAGATTTGTGACAGTCCCAAATCTTTAATGTTCCTGACAATTCAAACAAAACCCATTCCCAAAAGTTCAAATTAATAAAAGCTGTTCGGACCAAGATCAGACTTTTTATTGCAGCTAAACTCTTCTCTTTCCATGCACACTAAAAAGTGAAAAATCATATGGCATAAATCACGCATGTAAGAAATCAAAGCACATCCAAGATAAACTGAATGTCTGATTTACCTTCCACTTGCTCTTTGCAAAGTTCTTCTTGATCTGAGCACTGACAGACTCGTGGATATTCTTTTCCAGAGCAGTATCCCCAGCAATCCTGACAAACAGAGGGGTGAGGAAACATAGGAGTGTGTGTGCATGAGTGTATGTGCCATGGGTAGAGGTCACATGTACAGCCACAGTCATAATCAGAATTTCCTAAGCAGTAAGGGTTGCATAATACGCTCAACCTGGATTAGTTAAAACAAGTAAATCACTGAAGTTAGAGTATCATGGTTTAAACCAGATGACAGAGTGAGTGCATCATGATGGAGGAGTGTAGGAACAGTACCAGGGGTGCTGCAGAGCCTGATCACAAGTGTAACGTATGTTGGGGTCTTTCTCCATCAGGTGGACTATGAAGTCTTTAGCTATAACAAAAAAGAAGGGTTAAAAAAATTCAGAACTACAAACTTTACCAGTTGCACTGATGCAATAACATTTCAGTGCTGTAAACAAGAAAAAACTAATCTCAAGGTAATTCACATATGCCAGAAATTTGGCTGCTGCGTCAAGTGTAAAATTTGTTCTAAACTTTGGAGAGATCCTAGCCTAAAGCAGGGAACAGAGATCGAGTCCAAGAGCCAGGACTGGAGAAAAAATCAACATGGGATCATTGCCTTGGCTTGTGGGCTCACCACCTGGTAGGGTGAAAAGGAGGGACTGGATTTTCAATCTCAGAAAACTTGAGACATCACTCTCTCGAAACGCGAAGGAGGTTGACTGGCTCTGGAGACACATTCTTATATAAGAGGTGGTCTCTGTCTTGTACTCGGACTTGCTCGAGGTGAGAAGTGTCAGGTGGGTGAGAGGATACTAATAAGTCTGAGCTGCCTATGTCTTTATTTCTGCAGGATGAGAAGGTCTCTGTGTTGCAGAGAGGCTATATGCCGCTGTTGTTTGCACAACAATGAGCCAAACAGCTGCTCAGAGTATTCAGTCACCTTAAGGGAGAGAGTGCAGGAGAAGACTGTTTGAATTTTTTTAGATTGCTTTTAACTGTGAAAAATGTAATTGTATTCCAGTGTTTATCTGGGTGATTGTAATTTAGTTGCATATTTAAAAAAAGTTTGTTTACATGACTTTTTCATGACTGGAAGCTGCGTTAAACAATCCCAGGTTGCTGAGGTTTTCCAGAGCATGTGTTGGATGTGGAGTCGACTTTCCAACCCTCACATGTGATCACAAGCTTTGCGTTGTGACTAAAAGAGTGACATCACCGATATAGGCAACCGAAATGCAATTCATACTATAAAGTGAATGACCTCACTCTACGTGAGCTCAGTGAGGAAGGAGGATGATGGATTCTGGGCTACTATTCAAATAAATCCAGAGGAATTCAGATGCTTTTGGCACTGGGAAGATACAAGGCAGACCCAGGGCAGTGTCCGCACTGACCTGAGGTCAGAGAGGTTGTTGACAAAAGATGTTCTGGCTGCTCATTGTGTTTCCCTACTGACCTTTACTACATTATGCACCTCAAAAACATTAAAATTCTTAAGAACATTAAAGGACAGTTCACCCCCAAAATCAAACAAACACATTTTACTCATACCTGTGGTGCTATTAATTAACAGCCTGGATTGTTTTGGTGTTGGAGATGACTGCTTTCTCTCAAATGTTGTGGAACTAGATGGCACTCGGCCTGTGGTATTCAAAGCGCCAATCAGTCGTACAGATGTCTGTCATTTCTTGAATGTAATGGAACTAGGTAGCACTAGATGGCCAAAAAAATACATTGAAAAAACTCAACAGCAATGTCTCTCTCCGAAAAATCATGACCCAGTTTCTCAAGATAATCCACAGACCTTGTTGTGAGCAGTTTCATGTAGGACCCGTTTTCTTTCTACCGAACTACACCTGCCAACTGTATCACCATGGAGAAGAGAGTGTGCATCTACTGATGGACGAGAGGTACATGGTCATGACAGCGCAAAATGCAAACATTAATGGCGTCCTCCTTGGCTGAGCTGTGATGTTAGTTTGCTCAGTGGTGCTAGGTGAGCTCGCATTAGATGCACGGTTCCTTTTGGCAGTGATATGGTTGGTGTATGTAGTTCAGTAGAAAGAAAATAGTTCCTACATGAAACTGCTTACAGCAAGGTCTGTGGATTATCTTGAGTAACCGGGTCATGATTTCTGTAAAGAGACATTGCTGTTGAGTTTTTTTAAATGTATTTTTTTGGCCATCTAGTGCCATCGAGTTCCATTACATCGGAGAGAAGACAGACATCTCTACGGGCAATATCTCCAACACTCTGCAACTCACACCAAAACAATCTCGAATTATGAATACCACTAAAGGTAAGAGGAAAAATATAAAATATTTTCAATTTTGGGGTGAAGTGCCCCTATAATGCTCAGATCTACACATTGTAAAAGACATATACACATTTGTTCTGTCTCTGTGAGAAATCTACAACATGCCTTTATGAGAGGACTAGAGAAAAATAGCTTGATGCGCACTGTACCTGAATCAGAGATATCATCCCAGTAAGGAGAATCAAACTCGTATTCTGCCTTCAGGATCTGCTCAAACAGTTTGGCATCATTCTCATCGTAGAACGGAGGATAACCACACAACCTGAGACACACAGGAGAGCACAGACGTCAGGTTTCTCAACTAGGAGAATCCCAAGAGGTTAAAGTGACAATCACTGAAGTTATAAAAGCAGTCAGCAGGCAAAACGAGATGATTACAACTACATCAATGACTGGTTTGAAATAAGACTCAAATTACATGGTTGTTAAAGTACAGTTTCAAACCTTAAGTCAACATGATAAATGTTCTTATCCTGTGTTAGGCTAGGCTCGTGTCTTAGAAAGTGTACTCACAGAATATAGGCTATGACGCCAATAGACCAGCAGTCCACTGCTTTACTGTAGGGTTTCTGGGCCAACACTTCAGGGGCTGCAAGAACAAAAACAACGGAATGGAAATACATTAGCAAGACGAATGTTTAATGATTGTTCAGCACTATTAATGCCGTAAAAACCAAAGTAATTAATTTGGTAGTTGAGCATGTGGCATTCAGCAAAGATACTGTGGTTGCCAAAGCAATATACAAATTATGCTGACTTTTTTTTTTTTACTGAGTTAAAATGATTAATGATTTTGAATGTCTGTCTGAGCTTCCAAGTAGCTGTCAATGGTGTTTAATGAGAGATTTTGCAGATGGATTTGCTACTATTGCATCATTCTGTGTTCCCTGCCATGCAGCACTGATTAATTCAAAGCAGATTTTTAAATTTCAGACAGTCTCTGACTTCTTTACCAACATATCCAGGTGTTCCACACGCTGTCGACATCACACTGCCAGAGCCCTCAATTTTAGACAGACCAAAGTCACTGATCATGATCTTGGAGTCTTCATCCATGCTGTAGTACAGCAGGTTCTCTGGCTGAAATGAGGAGAAACCAGAAACGTTAATTAACACATATACACACATTTTTGGCTGGAGTGAAATAATGTCAGTGACACTTTCCAGTCATATCTCTGATATCTCTGGCCCACAGACTGACCTTGAGGTCACGGTGCACAATGCCCATGTCGTGGAGGTATTTGACAGCGTCCAGAATCTGCTGAATGAGCTTACTGGCGTCTTTCTCTGTGTAGAAGCCCTTCTCTATGATACGGTCGAAGAGTTCCCCGCCAGACACCCTGGATAAACAGGGAGAGATTTGTTCATTAAAGCAAAGTGAAGCTTGTGGAATATGTAGTATTGATATAATATACTTTATTTCAAACAAGTCAAACAAAACAAAAATAACAATAAATTAAAGGAACGATAACCTATAAAAGAAACTCAATGAATAGATACAGTAGTAGTACAGTATTGGGACAACAACCACCAAGGCATGGAGTGAACATATTACTTTGAAAATATCTGTAAACAAGACAAACTTAAGAGTTTGAGAGAGAAAGGACACGATGGAAATATAAAACCGGGACTTTGTTAAAGAAATCATCACTCATCAGAACAAGGAAAGTTAATTTCTTAAATAACTGCTATAAAACTCCTTTTAAAATGTACTTCAGTTATAGATCTCTAGTGAACAAATGCATGAAAGACAAAAGTATTTTATTTTGGAGTCAAAAAAAGTCCACTGTGGGGTGAATGAAAGCATCAACAGTGAGATAACGTCCGCTTGCTGTTATACGTAGAGGCCACTAGATGGAGACTTCACTCTGTCTACAGATAATCCCCAGCAGTTTGTTTGAGACGCCAGCATTAACACACACACACACACACGCGCGCGCACACACACACACACACACACACACACACACACACACACACAAATAAAGGAGGAAATAAATAAATAAAGAAGGTTGTTCAGGTCTTTCTCCTTTTTGACAATGAAATTAAATAAGTAGATCCATGACTGTAGCACCGGCTGTACTGTGGGAGCAATACGTTTTGTATTGTGAGGACACACAAATGCCATTCTGAGGAAACACAAATATATTGCCGGGGAACAGGGAAGTACTCAAGGAAAGAATAGTCCTTTCATTGATAAGCGCACACCCTCCCCCTCTGCTGCGCTCTTCTATGATTTGCCATTGAATGTGATTAATACATAAATGATTTACATCTTCTGGCACCTCAGTTAATAGCGCTTCTGATCCTCATCAGTCCTCTCTCTCTCTCTCTCTCTCTCTCTCTCTCTCTCTCTCTCTCTCTCTCTCTCTCTCTCTCTCTCTCTCTCTCTCTCTCTCTCTCTCTCTGACATTTCAGTGGCTGAGGTGGGTGGGAGGCTGACAGGCTGCAGGTGTGAGGGCGAACTCCCCACTGGTGTTCATGAGTAGGCATAGTACCGTTTTGTGTGTGTTGCAGAGTGCAATTAATGGCGTGTGACGTGCAGTGTGTGGGAGAGAGAGTATGGAACACATATCAAACCCACACACACGTGAATACTCACAGTTGCATGACAAGGTAGAGGTGTGATTTACTTTCAAAGATCTCTTCCAGAGAAACGATGTTGGCGTGTTTAATCCTGTGAAGACGGAGAGAAGAGGAATCAGACAAGAAATTCTTATAATATTATTAATTCTTCTGGTCCATTTTATTGAGCCATTAAGATGTCGTAGTTAAGGTTCAGTGTGTGTGTGTGTGTGTGTGTGTGTGTGTGTGTGTGTGTCCACCACAGAGTCATATGTACTTCTTCCTGACTGTAGAGGAGGCAACACTGTATGTTGGCATTCAGCTCCCTAATTGGCTGAACTCTGTGCTCTGCTGCCCCTTGAGACCCATGGGTGCAGTGACAGGGGTGTAAAGATGATCTCACTAGATTTATATTGGTATGGTAACAGTGTGTATCATGCCTGTGTTACACTTAGAGGCCACTTTATTAGGTACACCTGTACAATGTAATGCAATTCAGTACAACAGCTCTGCCATAAATTCTACCTTTACAAAACTAAGCATGACAGAATCATAAAAGTAAAAGGTGTACCTATTAAAGTGGCCAGTGAGTGAATGTCAAACCACTCTCTCATATACACACATTATCACATACTGCATGTTTCAGTATAATATGTATAACAAACTGATTCATGGGTTGCATAATTTGTTTTTAAATGTAATATTAAACAACATTTCAAATAATTGTCGTGTATTTATCATTAAATGTTCCTCACTTATTCAAAGGGACTGTGTTGCGTGATGTTGCGGCTCATTTGCATTTCTCCTGGAAGCATTTTCTGAGGTTTGCTCTTCACAAGAAGACCTTGTTTATTGTAAACCACAGTGACGTAATTGTGTTCCTAAACCAGGGGACACAACAGTCCTGAGATATGTGAGGACAAGATGTCTGTTTACACCTGTCTCTTCCGTTTAAAAAATATGGGTATTTAATAAGTGTATCAATAGAAAACTGATACTTTAATATCTGTTGTTTTGTCATTCAGCTCAATGTTCAATTTGTCAAATAAAAGAATGTTGGAAATAATTTTCTTTCATTTTTTAAAGGTCCAGTGTGTGGGATTTAGGGGCATCTATTGGCAGAAATGGTGTGTAATATTCATAGCTATGTTTTAATTAGTATATAATCACCTGAAAATAAGAATCTTTGAGTTTTTTGACGTTTTTTTCAGAATGAGTTGTTTATATCTACATACGAAGAGAGTCCTCTTCCACGGTTGTCTCTACAGTAGCCCAGAATGGACAACACAAACACTGGCTCTAGACAGGGCCATTAACAGTTTTGTTTTGACCACCATAGTTCTTCCACACGCTTGGCACACTGGAAAAGGTTCAGTTTTACAACCTCACTGCTAACTTACACACTGGGCCTTTAATTCAAAAGCAATCTGGTGTATTTTGCCATTGAAGAAAGGCAGAACTGAGGAGTACATGTACACACGTACACATTTAAAAACATGTTTTTATTTCTAAAAGTAAGATACAGTATGGTTAAATGTACTGTTTTGTTATTGTACTATAACTCAAGAACCATATATGCAAATTTCAAATGATACCCAGCCTTAGATACACATGCACGTGTGTGTGTGTGTGTGTGTGTGTGTGTGTGTGTGTGTTATCATCCCATTCCAAAACAAAAGGAGGTTTTGTTTGCATTCAGTGTCTCTGACCACATTATGTGTAGCATGTTGAGCGCTTCTCCTTTCTCAAAAAGCATTTGCAAAGCAGATCTTTCAAATACATCTGAAACATTTTACCATATTTTTTGTGTGTGTGCAACCCATTCATTTGATTCACCTCAGTATTTCGTCTATGAATGACTATGAATGAGTGTTATTGAATTGACTTGAGGGTGGGAGGACAAAGCCAACACAAAGTGCCTGAGCTGCACCAGAGGTAAATGTGTGTGAGTCAGCGTGAGCTCATGCTGGATTACGCCAATGACTCTTATCCAGATTGTAACGATACATGGACACCTTCATTCAGCTGCTTAGCTTGGTGTGGAAGGAGAGATGGACCCGGCTGAGGATGAATGATGGATTAAACCTGCCGGGTGAGCAGGCACACGTAGAGCACATGTTGAGCATGTGAGCTCGAGCACACACTGTCACACGCAGGAAAGGGTCAAACACATGCAGTTAATGTGCACTGACTTGGATTCCTCTGCAGGTGTGTTTGAGCGTGTATATAGTGGACACCAATCATGGTGATTGTCAGTGAGCTGAGATGTCTATTGAGGGCTGGTGAGTCATCTGAACATAGATGTTTCCAGCTCTGCAGCCTGACATCTGGGTGAAACTGGAAGATCTACTTATTCTTTAATGAATATTCTGTTGAGTTTCTCAAATAATTACAAAGTTTATTAATTTATTTAAAGATATTTTAGGGATTACTCTGAATATTTAACAGCCTTGTGTCCACTGGCAGTGCATATATTCAGCTTTAAGTTTTTTGCAAATTGACTTTTGTATTTCATTTGTTTTCCTCACAGCTGTGACACCATTTTAATTTATTTATTTAGTGCTGAGTGAGCCGGCCATGAATGCATGAATGCTTCTCACAATATCTGCAGTCGGAGGAGGCGTATTTTTTTTCCCTTTAATTATCTGGATTAATTGAGATCAACCCACTTGACATTTCTAGCTACAGGTATGCTATACAGCCGTGGAAATAAGTCTTTTCAGAGTTCTTACAGAGCCTCCACACCAACTCCTCCGATTGGCACGGCTTCAGGTGACTTAGCACCGTGGGATTAGTCACTGTATTTGCACATGTCTATGCTTGAGTAAATATTTGGTCTGGATAAAATGGGACGAGGATGAACAGCCAGCTTACCAATATGATGATATCATATGGCTACATGAGGGGTATATGAAACTACCATTAGCAGGGGTGAGTTGACTGAGTGTATCCATGAGGATCCTCTGCCCCGACACAAACTGGGCCATTAGACACTAAATTGACAATAAATTAACTGATTGTCATATTCAGACCAAAACACTGTCACAAGTGCTTGACACACGTTGGAAAAATGAAATTAAACACCGATAAATTACAGCGGGAGACATAACAGAAGTCTTAAAAGAAAAACTGACAGGTCTGGTTCATCACAGGAAGGAGAAGGGGTGATAGCGTGGGATGTAAAACGTTCCGCCACCATTTCAGTCTCAGCATGTTTATGCTGGATAACATTTTTGTGTGCCAACTATCTCCTTTGGTCAAAAACAAGAGAGCAGGTTTACTTCACTGTTAATATTCAGTGTTGTGGGGAGGGATAAAAAGTATTCTGCAAGTTTCATTACATAGGATTAGAGTTACATAATCAATTTAGGGCTGTAAACACATGGGCTGATTTTTAATTGTTGTATTCAAACAACTAGCTGGACTGAATAATCCAAAGGGAGGAAATATGTTTTCAATCTGATGATTTCATGACCTTGTACACCAAAGGCAATGTTAATATATTACAGTGTTTTACTTACAATTACACCTTTTCAAAGCATTATAAAATATCTGGTTCTTAACTCATAAATGCTGCTGGAATAAGACCAATGGCAGCGGTGAGACCAAATCTAAACAAATTCAAAACAATGCTCTGAAAGACCGCAGAGCTAAGGGTGATGCTTCTCTATGAGCCATGCCTTCCACGTTACATGTAGTCATAATATTAAAATATATTAAAATAATATATAATATAAAAACATGAGTGCAGCTTTAAGGTGTTTTACCTTTTGATACCACTCAGTTAGACCCTGTCCCCGTGCTCTGTGTACTGAGGGGGAGTCGAGAATGACGTCTTAAAATGAGTAATGAAACCTTTCAGGTGTGATGTCTGCACAAACTTTAGACAAAGCCAGGATTTTCATGCCAAGTTTACCTCAGTTTACCCCATTTGTCAGAATCTGTAACTGCTAACAAACCCCCCGTCACTCTCATTCCACCAGCCTCACCTCAGGAGGGATCATAGCTGTATATTGGCTGGAGTTGTGTCTCTTGTAACCCAGGCAACAAGAGCTCTAAAAATAACTTTGGGACCCAATGTAGATCAGCCATTTTCACCATGGCTTGTAATTCCCTGCATCTGAGGAGAAGTGTGTTTGAAGTGCTCAACAATTACAAGGAGAGTTACTGTCACTTGCCTTTGTCTTTATGTAACATAAAAGCAGTATCCCCTGCACAGGTAGAGAGGAAACGTGTGCATGAGCTCAGTAAAGAGGAATCATGTATGGTAGTTTCTGTAGGTGTGAATGCACCTGGGCTCATGACTCTGTATTACAAGCTAACATTTACATTGATGAGTCTAAAAGCATGAGTTAAGGTACTGTTAAATATTTAGGGCAGATCACAGGACACTTTGTACAGCACTGTGATCCTAGTTTACTGATGTATTGTCTTTATTGTAGTCTGTGCTTAGGTTAAAGGGTCCATTCTCCCAATTTACAAAAAAAATGCCAACTTCTTGTCACCCCAACAAAATGGAAGTTAATACTATTGTGTTTAGTGTAATGATTGTCACAGCATTGAAAATTTACATGTGAAGAACAACTGCAGTCTTTTTTCTCCAAAAGCTGCTGTTCGGGAAAACTCAGGTCAGGACATGATTCACAGGAAATATTTCCTCAGTAGAAACTAGTTCCAGTGAAATACCTCAGAGTGAGGTCTGTGGTTTTTCCAGATGAACCGAGATATCATTTCCTAAAATACAAGCTGCTGTGGAATTCCCTACCTTGATGGCTAGATATCAAGGGCGGAGCCAGATGCTGGAAACATTCAGGACTCAGCCCAAGTCTCTGGAGCACCGGGGGGCAGACTCTGCGGCAGCTATATGCAATGTTTTTTCAAGCCATTTGAGATACAGAATGCTAAAAAAACATCATTTGGGGAAAAACAGAATGGTTGCCAAAGAAAAAAAATCATCCTGTATAGAGCCCACATCCTGTTTTGTTTCTAATTGTTCTCCAGCTGTCTTCATCATTCAGAAACCATTACAAATGTTGAGGATGACTAATGTTCACTCCTGCCACATAAACAGAGGCGGAATGTGTCTGATGATAGTATTTTTAAGTTACATAACATAGATAGGTAGGAAAATGGGTGTAAACAGCATTACTAATCTTGAAACCTTATTTTGTCGTACTATGTTGTAGCAGAGTTCACAGACTGAATGTTTAGCTGACAAACGTGCTACATTTGAATCCATCCCATAGTAATCTGAGCCGCTTTAATTTCAAATGAAGATCCCCAACAATGCCAAGTAAATGTAGTCTTCAATATTCTGAACCGAACATTTACCCACTCATATTGGATTGCTTTAGGGAAGAGCACATCAGGGTGAACAGGAACGCAGAATGAAGGTTGTATGCCTCCACAAACCAGTCAGGTTGCAGTTAAAGTTTACATGGATGCTTCACACACACGTCGTCTCCCCCACAGCACAGAAGATCTGTACAATCAGCACACTTTCAAGGTGAAAACCCAAGATTAGAGTCACCAATTCAGTATCTGAACAAATGTCTCCCTGCTGTTCCTGATATGTGAGGTTGAAAGAAGTGTTTTTGCAAAACATTATGATGTCACAGTGAAGCTGACCTTTGACCTTTTGGATATAAAATGTCATCACTTAATCATTTTATCCTATTGTGACATTTGTGTGAAATGTTGTCACAATTAGGGTATAAATTCTTGAGTTATAGCCAAAAACCTGTTTTGTGAGGTCACAGTGACCTTGACCTTTGACCACTGAAAGCTAAGCTAAAAAGAGTCCAACTGGGCATTTGAAGAAGATCCCTCACAACGTTCTTGTGATATTGCACTCACAAGACTCAGACAGGAGTTATTTTTCAGTAATTAGAGTGGACTGGCCCTTTCTTTCTTCCTTTATTGAATATATACATCTAAATATATGGATCCAACTCTTACAGTGATCATGTGACAAGGTCAATGCGATGCTTACTACTACGTGCATCATATTACAACAGCACATATCATATACGAGACATATATGATATGAGGTAATGCGACACGGCGTACATGATGCACTAACGGAGATACAGTGATGAAAAATTTACCATGTGGAACCTTGTGGCTAGTATTTCAGATGCAGGCTAATGCTGCACATCGCTAAACATTGAACGGTTTGTGGTTACAATACAGACTGGCCTAGAAATGCAGGTTTATTTTATGTATCATTATGCATCATGTTATGTTGATTAATGAAGAAATTCAGGGTCTATTATTGCTAATGTCTGAAATCACAGACGTCCACTTACTTGTGCAGTACTGCGATCTCATTCTCGATGCTGTTTTCTTTGCCCTCCAAAGCCTTCTTGGGAATGCACTTGATAGCCACCAGTTTCTGGGTCCTCTTCTCCTCGGCCAGGACCACCTCAGAGAAAGCTCCCCTGAAACACAAACACAAAGGTCAGTCTGTCAGACCTCAGTCCATTTGTCTTCATGTGTTTAGGCAGAGCTCTTGACATGCATCAGTAGCATCGTGGGGAAAAGAAAGGAAGCTCCTGCTTTGATGTTTAATCGGCCAAACTTGTGCGATAACCCGGCGACTTACACCTAATAGCTGGTAGAAATTCTGGCATGCTGATGCCAGATTGGGTTTATTTTTAACTTCAGCCTCCTCCTGGAGTCTTTAGTGTTGCTGCTGAGTCAAGTTTTGGAGAGGGGACAACTTGGTGGGATGATTTGGAAGCATCAATATCAAACGCTGAGGTTCTGCTGACAAGTTTTGAGACTGACCCAAAACTGTTTTAAATTTAAAGTTTTACCCATCAGTCACTTGGATGGTCACTGTGTACATGATCAATCTGTGGAACGCACTGTAGAGTATGGCCTCTTTCTCTCTTTCTGCCTGTCTTTCTTTGTCTTCCTTCCCTCCTTTCTTTTTCTTCCTTTCTTTTTTCACTTTCATCTTTCTTTCTTTCTTTCTTTCTTTCAGCATGCTTTACTGATGGTAATTAATAATACTGCAACAGCATCACTTTGGTATGAAATATTTAATGGGTTGAAATATTTGGTGTGTGTGTGTGTGTGTGTGTGTGTGTGTGTGTGTTTAAACCAGTTTAGAAGTATATATGAATTCAGGAAGCTCCCCATAGCTTGGTTTAACAGTGGCCTATATGCCATTAACATAGCAGAGCAGCTAACTCATTATTCAATTTCAGCATATACCTGGACTAGCAGTAATATTATCACTTACCAGGTATTTTATTGCTTATATCTAAACACCAGGTACTGTATGTTCCATATGTGTACAGATAACATTGCACAACAGTCTACTGCGAGGCTGTGACATGCTGAAGCATACACTGGTACTACATCAGCCCTGGCTCCTTCTACAATAACAAACTACTACATGTCATTTTTTTCTCCCTGCCGACTAAAATCAATAATGAGGAACAAGTAAAGCAACAGAACCCAAACTAGCATTTTTTTTTTTTTTAGCATTTTCCCACGACCCATTTAACTATAGAGGGAGACATTTCTTACAACCTCTGACGTTTTGGCCGAGATCCAGAGATTTTTTGACTCAGATCCAAAGCTGTGCAATAGCTATGGGGAAACCCGATCGCACAATTATATGTTTCCACTGAACATTCAACCAGTACTATTAGTAGTACAACTGCTATGACATATATGGTATAGGAAGGAAAGGGAACTGATGACACCAATACTGATTTTAGTTGAGCATAAGCAAAGTGTGAAAGTAATGCTGCTGCTGAAGATGGCGCAACATAAGAACCTGCGTAACTTCTGATTGTCTCATGTTTTGTGTTTTTGTGTGACAAACATATTTCTCCAAGCAGATGATTTAATAGTTAATAAGTTCTACAGTGGGAATCATCTCTTTTATTATATATATGAAGCTCCTTGAGGATTAGGCAACTTAGTGTCTACAGCAGTGATACTCATCTTACGGCCCGAGAGCAAGATAGGGTGCCTGTTGGCCTGCCAACCATTTCTAATTCACCATTGAAATAATTTGATCACACAGAAATTTTTCTTTGTAAGTTAAATGTAAACAGGGTGCCAGGGTGCATGAAAAAGCATCAAAATAGAGCTTGTTGATAAGAAAAATTGCCAGAAAAGGCAGGGCAGGAACCCCCAAAAGCCCCAACAGAGGCTAAATATTTATATATTAACTAATTAATCATTAATTCCTGTCATTTTGCAACTCTATTTTTATTCCATACATTTTGGGTCATAGATGTTCCAAAGGTATACTGGGAAAACAGAATGAAGGAACACTCAGGTGTATATACAGATACAGCATACAAACAAGTGTATATACAGTATATACAGTCTATGCTATATATAGACGTTCCAGTAATTAGCCACATTGCAAAACATCTGTGTATCCTACAAACAAGACCTTATGGTGCGTTCATGTCATATGGGATGGATCGCAGAGACGGGAGAGATCACACGTTTATCACGTTTCAGACTTGCAAGCGTTCTCTCACCAGACAACTCAAGACTGTTGTGTGATTGCAGAGTTGGCCACATCAAGGCCAAATCTTTTTGACTGTATTAATTCAGTTAAACCTTGTGGTATGAACGTGCTGCACTATATGAATACATCTATAAAACAACTGAGGTCCTGTTACATCTCTGGCTGTCACAAAATGTACCTAACTGCAGGAGGTAAATAGTTTTTATCTCTGTTCAGCTGCTCAAACAATAGCCAGCGTGTCGCACACAAACACAGACCACTGAAACGGGTTACCTCATCTCAAGAGGCAATACACCTGGATGATGGTGGCTGCATTTTCACAGGGAAGTTTGCAGATCATATCTTACCCACGCTTCCTCATGTTTTGCTACCAAGCAGTTATTCACGCCTCATCAACTCATGGTGAACAAATGCGTGTTTGTTTCGGAACAGGCTGTTATCTTATCAGTATACTAACAGTGCTGCAAATAAATGTCGGCAGTATCAGCATCTTCAAACCCTGTCTCCTAAATGTAGCAGGAAGGTTGAAGGGATGTTAAAACTCATTCAGATTTCCTGCATCACTGTTGGTGAGGTTGAGAACTGTTCACATTTGAACTGGTACTGATTCCTATACCTAAATTGGTACCAGTATCCAAACAATACTTTTTTGTTAGTACTTAACTTTTTCTTAAATAACAAAAATTACATTTTTGAACAAGCTGCAGGGGTGACATATAGACTAAAAGCAATTCTGCTCCTCTGCTCTTTCCTAATCACACGGAGCTAAACTTCTGTCTCTGTCTGTCGGCTTGTGTCTGTGTGTGTCTGCTGGTCTGGCAGTGATTCTACGATATTATTAAAATAATATAGAAAGTAAAGAGATAGACCAGATGAAACTATAGCGGCAGATCGGCGCTGCAGTGATAGTTTCAGCTCACTAAGAAGCAGACAGACAATCTGCAGTTACATGGCCAGCTTCCAGGCTTCAGGGTGCCTCGTAGCACTTCCACCTCTAGTCTTTAACTGGCGTTTTCACCCAGATGTGCGCTCAGGTACCAACATTTGGCACTAATTGATTTAATAGTGCCAACATAATTTGGTCAGTACCCTTAAAAGTACCGAGGTCAGTACCCAATCCTACTGTTGAGAATCAAACATTGACCACCAGCGGCTGATACAATTTGCAAACTGCTAAATGTAAAAACATCTCCTGAAGTTACGTTATTAGTCATTAAAACAAAACTGTGTGTGGGTGTGAGTGTGGGTGTCGGTATGGGCAAGGGTGTCAGCTGTCTTACAGTATCTCTTTGGCCACACATAGCCTGTAAGTGTGGGGAGAGGAACCACAATCATCCAGTCACTAGGTCTGTAGATACTTTATCAGCTTACAAACAAGGAAGGACTGCATGCTTCCATGCCACTGTGACCAGAAAAGAAAGTGCATGACCCACAAACCACAACCACTCAGAGCAACATCCTCTTCAGAGTAAAGCAACTGTCCAGAAAAATCATGCTAACAAGTACATTGTCAAAATCAATGACAAAGTAGAACCTCTTCTTGGTCCAAACACCGGAGAGGACTTAAAGATTTTATTTTTCCCATAACTCAGTTTGACTGTGTGTTTGACTGCTTGGACACAAACTATATTTGTTCTCCCACTGTGTCACTCAGCTCTGAACAGGAAAATGGTCTCTTCTCCTCAGGCAGATCCTCTGGGTGCTTAATCAGGAAAATAAGTGTGTACTTCCTGAAAGTGCACCAAGCGCAGCATGTACTCTCTGACCTGAAAATGTTTATCATGTTGCCGCTGTTATTACAAGAGTTTCCTGACCAAACAACTAAGGTGGGTTTGCTGATTCCATTTTTAAAGTGCTTACATCTATACTTGAATTTTGTACATTTTTGCAGCATTAAATCACTGTAGGATTCTCAAAGTTTTCTGGTACTGCAGAACGGTGTATTTCATGCAGAAGCGCAGCCTTTTGAACAGCCAAGAAACACCAATATATGCAAGTTGCAAATGTCCTGTGATCCCTGCCGCATATCAAGGAATACCACAAAGGGTCTGAAACCCAAGACTGAGAAGATATCATAGGAAAGAATGTAAAAATAATTATGGATATGAAGCAAGGTGCACTAGTTAAACAAGCAGTATCACAGCTAATATGTATCGAACTCATTAAACAGGTACATTTAATCTCTGGTTCCAAAACATACTTTGATCTACATACAACTTCTCTGGTGTTATTAACCTCAAAAGCTCAAAGCTAACAGAACACTGAAGCCATTTCCTGATCAAAGTAACAATTATCCTAGGATTGAGGCCTTGTGGTCACATCTCAACAAGAAAGTAAAACTGTCACAGAAAGGCCATTAGCTCTGGCAGGAATCCAGCTGTGTGGAGGAGGCTGTCAGTGCTGCAAATTCCTCTGTAGCATCTGGAGGATTTACTTGACATTCTCCATGCTCCCACCGAGGGGCTCTGGGGAAGTGTCAAACAGTGGTTCACACAAACATTGGGAAAATCTGAGAACACTAATGTATCTTTTGACTATGGATAGTCCCATTGCCTAGTTGATTGCGGGCAAACCCCCTTCCAGCAGAACATAGTTGTCTTGTGAAGTAATCACACACTGCATCATGTTTTCCCTTTTAAGTTATTCCCCAAATTACGTGAAACAACAAACATAGTTCAGCTGGACTGCAGAGAAGCCTGTTTTTCAGAAACAAGAGTCTTTCACCTCTGACTTCTTGTCATCAAATGGCACTGGGCACTGTTTACATGTAGTCCCAGAGAAGACTTCCTTCTTTCTGAATGTCAGTGAACTGCACGGTAACATTGTCATTGTGGTGGGCAATGATCTCTAACATGTCATTTAAAACAGGTGAATTCTGCATGTTGTGAACTATGCAGCACATTCCATGAAACAAGACCTTTTTGCACATGGTGATGT